CAATGATAGCTTTTCTATGTAGAATACCATTCTTCTATAATTATTTTTGGTTATCAGTGGTGGATCACAATTCGAATAAGGAATTAAAACCAGCTCACCAGCACAGAGCACACGCACGTACATAAATAAACCAACATAAATATACTCGCCAAAATTGTTTATATCACGCTGAGCCCTAGAAAGGCTAATACTAGTTTATGGTTGGACTTCTGCGTGAATGTTCCAAGACTAATTTTCCTATCAGCTCTTATCTGGAGAATTCTCATGAGCATTTGTATCTGTTGAAAAATAATCTCTTATAAATCGAAGACTAGTCGGACCAGCATAGTTATATCATTTCATTCACCCTGCCTGTTCCACTTAATGTATTAAGGAAGGTAGCATCACTGCTTTATCAAGGAGGACCGTACACAACTAATTGGTCGGTGAGCTTTCGGATCGTGCCCTCTCCGCACACATTCGCTATCTTGCTACCAACTCATACCTTCTCGATTGCCCAATCATATGTTCTAAAAACGAATGCCAGCAGTCTACAGTTAGAATAGTGAAAAAAAGCATTGGTAACACTGATACAGATCATGTTACAGCAACTGCTGCCTCAGTGAGTACAACAAATACTTATTCTATTCATACTTTTCCCAGTAATTCAATCTTCTTTATTTCCTCGGTCTTACCAAGGTTACTTCCTCCGGGCTTGTCATTCGAACGGATGAGGGGCCAGAACTCCGTGGATCACTTGAATCCATTTCTGCTTTTGGCCGAATGAAGCAGACTGGGATCAGCTGTAGTCAACAAGAAGGCGAGATGAAAGAAGAACATAGTCTTTTGCGACTACAGGCAATGGTTATTGCTAAGTAAGATCACTGAAGTTAAAGCAATATGGTGATTTCTTCCGAGAGTTTGAAAGCTATGGGAGAAAGATTTTGAATGCTTATTTATTAAGCTGATCTGAATTAGGTTTCAGCTGGTTTCGTTTTACTAAACTGCCTCTTGCATTTGTAATCATCCCGGTTCCCAAAACGATGATAATTTATACACAGCATCATAACTTTGCTTCTATTAAACATGAAAAAATCTCTTCCATCGTTGCAACTACCATATCACTAATTAGGTTGAATAAGGAAGCCTTTTCTCACTCCTATTATTAAGCTTACTTTTATCGTAGTTATGACCTGGAGGGCGTTTTCAGAGGTCTCTACCTGCATAAAGTGTTTTCTATTCAAATGTATAGAAGCATCCCTTCTATGCTGAACGAAAAACATTGGACATGTATTGATTCTACGCTATTCTGACCGAGAACCTCGACGAATAAAATAGTTAAATGTAATTTTCTACTTCATGGTTTTGTTCGCCTTTAACCTCATCGGTATTTCTGACTTTGAATCTTATCTTTGCCCCTGTTAAGCTCATCATTCCTTCCATTCTTTCTCCATGCTATTTCATTTTTCTCGTTGCTTGTATTAATCATATGAACCTCATACGTTGACCCCCATAGACGCCATCGTATGCTCTCCATAATAGAACTGTTGCTACGTCGCGGTGCTCATCCTGATGCGTCAATCCAGCCTCTGCCCAGCCTCATTTTGGCTGTACAGCATGCCGATGTCCATTTGAGTCGAGCTTTGCTGGCCGCGGGAGCAGACCCAAATCGGCCAGTAGTAGAAGTCAATGCCACAGGACCGAAACTTCAGGTATGGAAATTATGAGTGTAAAAACCACACCCATATGTGTATGAACATGCATATGTATGGGTGTGTGCCTGCATTTCCACATTCGTATATTTGTGTGAGGGAATCCTATTTTGCACTTAATCTTGTTAACCTCAATTGATATGTAATTGTCTACTAATCCTGATGCGTAATTATTCTGAGACAGTATATGCCCGCGTGTATGGGTTTCCTATACACTTCTCTACATAACTTATTACCTACTTTGTTCACTAAAACATCCAAAAAAGGCAATTTATTTTCCTTTTCTAACTCTATGGCAAACTTAGTATTCACATCTATTCGATTTATTAACCCAAGGAATTCACCTAAACTAGCCTTGCCATTTTGCCAAATAGCAGCGTAATCATCCATATAACGAACTAATAAAATGGAAACTAGGAGTGCCTATTAAAACCATCGAACCTC